AAATATTCAATTTTAACTTCTGTTAATCTACACCTTTAACCATTTGTAGAGAGAGAAAGAGAAAGAGCCTTAAAGGAAGGAATGAAGAGCTCGTTAAAGCGTGCAAATCAGGCCCATGCCCCATGATATGCATGCTCTCCTTGTTCATTCTAATTTATAATCAAAGGCGGTCGATGGTTTTTAGTGTTTGCTGCCAGCTGAGAGAGAAAAAGCCTATACAATAATAGTTACTTGAGGATTCGGTAAACTGGGGACTCACCTCGTCCTATAAGTATGATCATCAAATAATATTTATATAAATAAATATTTTTATATCCAAATAAAAGTAATAAAGCAAATATTAACGAAAGTACCCTTGCGTCTTACCCAAGACCAGCAGTGTACTATTAATTTGGTAAAAATATGCTCATTTATGCACATTTAATATGTATAATAATAAATACAAATTTACATAGTGATTTACATAAAACCTGTATGTTTCTCTGAATAAATATTCTAAATCATCGAATGCTATATAATAAAAAATATAATAAACCATACTAATTATATATTTGTCATAATATTAATATTATTAATTAATATTAATATTTATTATTATAATAATATAATATATATTCAAGACAAGTCTCAAAAATAATTTTTTTAATTATTTATTCTTTATTTTAATTCTCTTTCCAAATCTGAATAATAATTTATTTAATTTAATTCATGTGAAACATTTAATTTGTTACTATTCTATGGCCATTCAAAACCTTTTGCAGCCCTATATAAGCCCTCATATCTATCTATTTATATGTACATATATACATACGCACATACGTATGCCATATATGTATGTATGCATGTATGCATGTGCGTCTACATATGTACAATTTCCTATCTCTAAAACAATACACATTTCCAATTACTCGACAGTTGTGCGCTGTCCTAGCTCCAACTCTAGGATAACGAGTCTCGTTCCACATGTTGTTCGCGTTGTAGTTGTTGTTGTTGCTGTCGATGTTGTTGTTGTTGTTGTTGTTGTCTTTTGCTGTTGTTTGGCGGTGAGGCTCAATTGCAAATTGTATTTAAAATTTATATAAAATGCGCGTCGCATTTGTTGCTTTTGTCACAATGTGTCTGTGCCAACTCCTGGCCAGCCAGTCAGCCAGTCAGCCAGCCAGCCAGCCCCGCATCCGCCTGTCATTTCCCTCCTTTTTTATTTGAAGTGCCAGCTCCGCCCAGCAAAAACAACAACAACAACGAAAAACAACAAACAGGCAACATACGCGGTTATTTTTGCCATACAATCAACGCGGCCAACGTGAAAAATTCGCGCGATTTATGCATGCATGGAGTGCCAAAGAGAGAGAGTGTGAGTGGTTGAGTATTCATGGGTGTGCATGTGTGTGCGTGTGTGTGTGTCTGTCTGTCGCTGGCTCTTCCTGTGCCGCCACCCACACACACACTCAACACTCCAGCCCTCATTCCAATTGGACACTCATGTTGTATGCGCCCAGCCCTGGCGAGTCACCAAAAACTCGACGCTTGTTTATTTTATTGGCACGTAAATTTAATGTCGAGTTCTATATATCCGTTGCCATACATATATATACCAATACATATATATATATGTGTGTATGTGCATATCTGTACAGGTTTACCATTTCTGCATTTATATACGATTGCGTTTGTATTTATAAATAAATTTTTCCGAACACAGCAAATGGACACACCCATGACAATATTAACGGGCTGCTCAGCCATGCTGGACATTCAAATTTGTAGTTGGTTGGGTGCTACTCCTCTATAGAGAGATATCGCCAAATAGAGTCGCTTGCAAATGGTCAGATAAGAGAGGTGAGCCCGGCCGAATCACCGAACTGTCCGAACTGAATTTGATGGCCACTTTATCTGAAATATGAAAAGAGTAAAACCCGAAAACATTATTTCACTCAGTTAGGTGTGTATGGAGAGAGCTAGATGGGATGGGGAATGGAAATAGAATTCAGCTATCTCTAGTAGTACAAATAGTATGAGCTGTAGAGGGAACTTCTGGTACCAGGCTCGTATGACTACGCGATTTGCATTCATAGCTATATATGTATTATTATTTTGGGGATGAAAATTATAAATAAATATAAATATATAATAAATATGTACTATAGAAATCAATCCAAAATGCTCAATTATTATATATTTATATTCGAGAGTAAAAATTGTAAGTATATATAATATATATAAATATACTAAATTATTATACATTTTTTGGGGGATCGAAAATTATAAAAAAATCTAATTAATTTAATACATAAATAAATACAATTACAAATTTATATACATTTTTATTTTTATTTATTTATTTTTTTTTTTTTTTGAGAATAATTTCTATTAATAAATATAATAATACATAAATGCCAAATTATTAATAATTTTTTTTTTTTTTGAGAACACAATTTATACAAATAAAATATAATACATAGATAAATTTTATGGAAATATGCACTAGAGCTTATTTATATTTAGTTTAGTTCTACAGCTCTTGAGTGTAATATATAATATTTATAGTTTATTAAGGTGGACTAATCTATAATTAGATATTGTGATTTATTTATAAATAGCTTAGAGCAATTCCATTTTTTCGATAGTGCGTAAATTACTACAGAAATTATTGCTCCTCCTTTTTTGCCTTATGCTCCAAACATATTGATTGAGATATACATATATTGATATAGTTGTAATACAGTTATAAAGCAAAGTAAAGTCAGCCCAACTGCTCATTGTTAGCGAATAGACAACTCAGAGGCAACTCAACTAGCGAGGGCTGCCACTGAAATCAGCCATTTATATGTTTACTGAATACAGCTTTGTGTAGAACCATTTGGCTTTTGGCTGCCGGACTGTCTGTTTCATAATTTAAGCTTAGCTTCCATTGTCTCTGGTTGGTTGTGTGGCCCAGTTTCATCAGGATTCGTTTAAAGCGCCATCCACATCATTGGCATGGACATTTCGCATGTCACCTTTTGACTGAGGCCTGGGTCCGGGCTTTACAATAACTAGCGAAAGCCCCCCCAAAAAAGAAAAAAGAACGAAAAGAGAACAAGCAGGCAGAGGTAGAGCAAAAGCAGGAGCAGAGCCAGCAGCAGCAGCGTCATCAATATGCAAAGGCCTCCACACACGCACACACACACACACACATACGGCACACAGGCAGCGAGATGAAGAAAAAAAATCGGAATTGTAGCTGCCATTCAATGTGACTGCCGGAGATTCTCTATCCACACACACACACGCACGCACTTACACAATGCGCCGTAGTTGGGTGCTGTCCAATTATGCCCCGCACATGCAAATGCAACGTGTGCTAAACCCCACTCTGACTCAGTCTCTCTCTATCGTTCACTCTTCCTCTCTCTCTCTCTGTCTCTCCCTCTCTGGATGGCCACCCCCTGGCAACCACTCAGCGCGCTTGTTGTGCCCGCGAGGCTGGCCAGCAGCAGCAATGCGACACGACGAGGCCTAGGCCTGGTCAGCTCTCAACTCTGTTTCAATTTGCACCCACACATGCACACTCGCACACACAGGCACAGCAATCACTCAGCGTGCAACGAGTCAGCCTGCTGCCCGCTGCCCTCAGCCAGCCAGCACAGCCTGCCACGCCTATAGCCCTCGCATTCACTATCCCCAATTGCTGCCGTTTCCCGCATCGTTCGCCTTTTTTTCGCGTAACGCAACAACAAAATTTTGGCGAACTGTTGTCCACCTACCTCAACCTGACCAGCGCTCTCTCTCTCTCTCACACACACACACACTCTCTATTACTCTGTGTCGCTCTGCGTGCAGCAGCTGTCTCTTTCAGTCCGCATCATCAGGGCCATGTCCTCGTTATCCTTAGCCCATGCCGTTATTTTGGCTGCAACTCTGTCGCCGTTGCTCGTGTTTTTGTGCTCTGTGCGTTTGTTGAAACAATCGATTTATTTTCGGTTTCATTTCTGATTGGCAATATTTCATAGCGATGTGTTTTTCCAGCACTCTTCTCTCTGCTTTCAGCTTCTCCTTTTTTATATTTACTTTCTTCTTTTTTTATCAGAGTTTTTTTTTTATTTTTTGGTGGGGTTTGTATCTGATTTTTTGCTGGCCATTCGTTTGTTGTTGCTTGTGTTTGCATTTTTAAATATAAGCAGACCAATGCCAAACGAACGCAGAGCAGGGGAAAAAATCATATGGCACTGGTCGTGGCCGAGATGAGTTTTGCTTTTATTGGATGAACCTGAGCTGATATTACAAGGAAAATTGATGAAAATATCCAGTCGAACGACTGGCATATATGTAAATATATCCGTTATTTCTGATGAACTCAAACAAGAGATCATTTAATTGCATGGAAAAAATTCTGTATAAATGAAGATAATACAATACAATAGACAATAAACTAGCACAGTTTTTTGTAGTAACTTCTTAAAAAAAAAATCGAGAATTATCATAATTTAAATTAAAATGAAAGCTTAAGGTATTT